CCACCAGCCGGCACGGTGGGATAGGGTGACAGGGGAGAAGGTTAGGAAAGGTGAGAGTAAAATCAAAAATTAGAGGATTAATTGATATTCCTGCCTACATCACAGGTGTCTGCGGATATCTCCTTCCATCATTTACAGTGACATGAATAAAGAAATATACAGCACGAATGGTTTTGGCAATGCCAATAAAACAACACTTAAGCTGGAAGACCGAAAGACTAGCTAAAAGCTAACAAACGCATCTAAGTGGGGCCCCTATTGTGTCTACCTTCCATCTACAGAGTTGATATCGTGAGACCATTGTGGAACGGTTTTGCTGGGAATGATTACTTCATAGTATATCTGTGACCCTTGACCACAAATTATCTGGTAGTTGAATTATGGTGCTGTTTTTCTTCACACCATAGTGGCAAAGTTGTATCCTTTTCCCTTCCATTCTTTAAATTGAGAGCAGGGCAAGAATACTAATTCATCCTCTATGGTGTACGCCAAACAGTTCCATTACGGGTACCCAAGGGTGTAAGAAAATTTCAAAAAATTATAGATATTGTGACATGTTACTTTTGTGGACATTGTAATAGTGGTCTCAAAACACATAACCAGTTGTTGTGCCGAAACACCCCAACTCTTTTTAAGATGGCAGCGTTGTAAACTAGGATGCACCCAGCCAGCAACTTTTTGCCGACGTCGATACCAATGTTTTTGTTTGATTATTTTTTTAATTTTTTTGCCTTTTGTGCGGAAAACAAAGAAATCACAGATATCATCTCTGCCATGTTTGCACATCTGTATTTGGCATGCATATATGTACCAGGTGTGGAAACTGAATTATTTCTCCAGTACCCAAGTTAAAAGATCCAGGCAACTGATGTTTTGGATATGTTTAACCAATATTATGACAAGAATGTATTTATTGTTAAAATGTTATTTAAACTGTTTTAGAATTTAATCTTCTCTCTTTCCCCCTCCCCCCCCAAACCCTTTGCCCTGTTGGGATCAATCCCCCTCATCCCCTACCTTCCCTCCTCTTCCTCCTTCCCTCCCACCCATCCTCCCTGTATTCCAACCTTCCTCCGCTGCGGTGAGATCTCCCCACCATCTCTGCCAAGCTGTCGGACATGTCAGGACCCGTGCCTAGCCGGGCCCGAGTGTACACCGAGGTCAACACTCATCGGCCCAGGGAGTACTGGGACTACGAGTCCCACGTGGTTGAATGGGGGTAAATATCTTGTCGACCCTCACACAACATTTGCAGCGTGATGCTTGACAGCTCTTAACCCCCGCTGATGTTTGGTTCACTTTCACAGAAACCAGGATGACTTTCAGTTGGTGCGGAAGCTAGGGCGTGGCAAGTACAGCGAAGTCTTTGAGGCAATCAACATCACTAATAATGAGAAGGTAGTGGTGAAGATTCTCAAGGTAAATCTATACAGAGACTGAAAACTGGATCAAGTCAGTGGCTTTGTTTGAACGATTTAATGCTTTAATCCCATCTGACTAACTCTGCCTCATTGTTATCCCTTCAGCCTGTGAAGAAGAAGAAGATCAAGCGTGAGATCAAGATTTTGGAGAACCTACGTGGAGGTCCTAACATAATCTCCCTCATCGATATTGTGAAAGACCCAGTAGTAAGTACAGTTTATGGATTGGCAAGAAAACTTTGATTCTTTGGCAGCAGAGGTTTGTTTTGTGTGTATGACATGATTTACATTTCATAGAAGCATAAACTGTATGTTGTTGTTCTGAAATATCATTACTGTACCAATAGCGTGGTGAGCCCACCAGCTGTGCAAGCATATCGATTTCACTTGGGCTTGCGAAGTATGTGTCTGTAAGTACTTAGTCAGCTATGGCTTTAACATAGATAGTTGTATCCAAGCAGTTCTACAGCCTTGTGTTCCTGTGTTGTCTCAGGGCTCTCAAATGTTTTTTGCTAGTTGGGTGATGTTCAAAAGCTGATAAGTTCTTTATGGTAAGCAATCCCAGGGACTATGGAACCAGAGGACGTAAAGTCATCAATTAAACAAGGAACTAATAGTCCCTTTTGCAGATTCCTGTTTGTGTTTCTACCACATTTCATGAACTCTGAAGATAACGCTGATGGATTAAAAACAATAGTAGGGTTTGAATCACAGTTTTCACACGTGGGAACAACAAAGTCACCCTATTCTTTGTTTTTACTGTTGACTGATGCAGGGTTTTGCTTTATTAGCAGTTTTCATGTGACCATAAACACCCTCTCAGCTGCCACGCAAGCCAGATGCTATTGGCTTTTGTTATGGCACGGCAGTGACATTTATATTAAAAAAATTACACTCCTTGGAAAGACAACTTCTTTTATCCCCCTTGTCTCAAATTTGCGGTAAGCTGCGAAATACGTAGTTGGAGTTTCACACAACAAACCCTGGTTTCCTGGACAATTAAAATGCTCACTTGCACTTGAGCTCATAAACTTTGCCTTTACCCAGGCAGTTTTCTTGCAAGTGCCCAATCGTACTGAGCATGTGCAACTCTCAACAGAGATGAGAAGGATGTGAGATTGCTCACTCCTGGGTTACTTCTATCGTGAGCTCCAGAAAAAGAGGTTTCAATTGGTCAAGTGATTTGCTAGATTGGTGGCGTTTTACTTAGCGGGCAATCTGAGATGTGTGGAAGTGAAAAGGGAGACAGAAAACTCCAGAACACCTTTTACCACAGGAGATTTTGCAAAGTGTTTGATGGTTATTTCTGCTTAAAATGACAAATAATCTTTCTACTGAACAGACAAAACATTCAAGGGTGTTGCACTTTGGCCTTTTGATTAACAAATTTGTTTGTATCTTCTGCCATTTATAGCTATGTCATTTATAAATAATTAATTGTAAAAACAGTTGACAGACTGGTAAAAGATGAGTAACTGTTGGAGCCGTACAGTTTCCCCATTGTAATTAAAGATCCTGGAAGCACCTTTTGCCAGGTATTTTAAATATTTGCTTAAACACTTGACCCATTGAACCATTTGACACAAGATATGCAGACTATGCTGATAATTTATCAATCACAAGGTATTCATAAAGTAAAAACACCATAGGTTTCTTGGATTCTCTGTGTTTATGTCAGGGTAAATAAAATGCCTTTTTACTGTTGCTCAGACAAACAAAGCAGTTGTAAGACAGCACATGGGCTCTGTTAGTTTTAGAGGCTGATTAATAGAAGGTTGGTAAGTTGCAGCTCTATTTCACACTGTAAGCAACAAGTCATCATTTGTGGGTGTGGACAGACTCAAAAATGGTCAGCAGCTATAAAGCTCTGGTCAGACTACTTGTGTATTTTCCTAACATTTAGTGTCAAACTATTATTAGCTAGCTTGGGTGAGCTAGTTACATAGACTTAGAAAAAAAACAAATGAACTGCTCTTCCAACCTTGTTTTGTCTGTTAACTAGAATTTAAAATCAAAACATAAAAGAAATGAATGGCTGTATTCCACCTTGTCAATGGTGAAGCTGGTTAGCCTGTTGTCAGTGAGATCAAAATAAGAGAAACTGGAATTTGTGTAATATGATTGGCTAGTGGCAGCTGTTGTCTGAGTTTCCTTGCTTATGTGTACAGGAAATAAAAGGACATTTGTAGACTTGGCTGTTGCTCACGGTGTGGCTGCCTGGCTAGTCCCTACAGAGTTTGCATTAGTGCCATAGCAGCGTATTGTTGCTGTTTCAGTCAAATAGATGAATTTATCTGAGCCTAGTTGTAGATATTATTGGTTCAAACTGCAACATAATCAATACACAACATTATTTTTTTACAGTCCCGGACGCCTGCCTTGGTCTTTGAACATGTTAACAACACAGACTTCAAGGTAGGAACTAAACTTTTTCTTTACTCTGTGTGTTGGATAAGATTATGGAATCCTCCTTTCTTGGCATACTACTCGTTTTCCCGTACACGTGTGTGTATGTGATGGAGGAATATTGAAATGTCCAGTGCTATGTCTTCGGTGCCAGAAAGTCATCCATTTTCTAGTTCTATCCTCAATCGCTGGCACATTCCCACAGGTCTCCGTGCCTGTTTTTAATGCAAGACATTGCTATAAAAGCTAAATGACTTTGTTTTGGTCTCCAGCAACTGTACCAGACCCTGACAGATTATGACATCCGGTTCTACATGTACGAGATCCTCAAGGTGAGTCCTCTGTGGTTTAGCTATAACCTCAAAGTGTCCTGAGGGTGGTGAAGCATTAACTCCCTAAACACGTAGTTGTCTTTGATTCGTTCCTTGTTTTTCTTCAGCTTTCTTTTTTTCTGTTTTTGTACATGCTTGGTTACTCAGACATTATCAAGCCTCTGTTTAGGCCATCGACATTGTGTGTGTCATCTAGTAGGCAGCTCCTCGTAATCTGTTGCTGTTTTGGAATTACTGGGAAGAAAAAACAGTGTGACCAATGGATAACAAAGTCCCTTTGCTCTTGTGTGCAGGCCCTGGACTACTGCCACAGCATGGGAATCATGCATAGAGATGTGAAGCCACACAACGTGATGATTGATCATGAACACCGCAAGGTAAGCAATGAACACAGTCCCTGTAGCCAAAACAGAGAGATCTGAATAATTAAATGGAACTGTTGTGTAGTTCTTATTTGGCTGTTGTCTCGCTACCTCTGTTCTTTTTCTCCATTGTGTGCCCATTGGATTCATGGATTCAGTAATATATATATATATAAATGAGTAAATGTCTATTTAGTTTGCTCTGTTGGACACTAACATGCATGCTCCCTGTAGTTGCTAACTGCTTAATTTCTTTGTAGTTGCGCCTTATTGACTGGGGTCTGGCTGAGTTTTACCACCCAGGACAGGAGTACAACGTCAGAGTCGCCTCCCGCTACTTTAAAGGACCCGAGCTCTTGGTGGACTATCAGGTACAGCTGTAGGCTAATATGTTTTAGTCGGATTTAGCATGTTTTATATATCTGATGGATGTTACTGGAGATCCTTCTGGGGTGCTCTTTGCTTTGCATTTGTCTTCATTACCTGTTTCAAATGTTTTTTTTTTTATTATTATTATTGTGAAACATCGATTTGAAACATAACAAAACCATGTGTTGGCCATGCTTTATTTTCCGCATAAAGGTCAGAAGGAATGGAAAAACACATGAAAATAAATAATAAAATATAGTATGGAATCCTCCTTTCTTGGCATACTCGTTGTTTTCCCGTACACGTGTGTGTATGTGATGGAGGAACATGAAAGTCCAGTGCTATGTCTTCGGTGCCAGAAAGTCATCCATTTTCTGGTTCTATCCTCAATCGCTGGCACATTCCCACAGGTCACTGAGTGATGGGTGATAAAATCACTTTTCTAACACTGATGATGTCATACAGTTAATTATTGCAGTTTGAATGGATTAAGGCCTCCGCACACCAACCC